TGTTAATTAGGTGTCAACAATAACCATGTGATGTGAGTATCAGTCACATGGAGGCTGGGCTTAAAAGCCTGAATTTTGCCTGAAACTCTCAGACTGAAGAAGTCTCTTGGAGAAGAGACGGAATGTTTCATTAGAGAAGAACCCGTRKWMAAGACCTATACAATTTTTTTCTTTTAGATTTTTTACCTGGATTACTGAGATGCATCAGGACATGTTCATATTTAAGTATTGTTTTATTGGTTTCCAGAAGCCAAATGTGGTTTGAGTTTTCACTAAAATGTGTGGAAAATGCTGATCTCTGCATACATACTCTGAACAAGAGTATTTCCAGCTGTGGTAGAGTGGTTAGGGGAGTCATCCTGGAACCGGAAAGTCGCCGGTTTGATCTCCCGTCTAGCCGTCTCTGTTGTTGTGTCCTTGGGCAAGACACCTTACCTGCCTTGCCTACTGATGGTGGTCAGAGGGTCCGGTGGTGCCTGGCAGCCCCACCTCTGTCAGTGTGCCCCAGGGCAGCTGTGGCTACAATGTAGCTTACCATCATCAGTGTGTGAATGTGTGTGTGCATGGGTGAATGTCTGTAAGTGTAAAGCGCTTTGGGGTCTGGAGGGACTTGATAAAGCGCTCTATAAGTTCGGTCCCTTTACCATTTTTTCAGTTTGTACAGAATGTGTGTGTCTTGGATTAACATTCAAAAAGAATAAATAAATTACTAACACATGCATACAGAGAGAGTAATGAACTTTTAGAAATTATTTGAGGACAAAGTAAATTTTGTAGTTCCATATTTTTCATTTATAGATGGTAAAAATTCAACTGTGTCTCGCTGATGTGCGTGCTCGACAAAAATRACATAGCTTTCTACCTTTCCAAACTATTGACAATATTTTGTGAACTGCCCCCATGTCAGAACTTCTTTTCAGTTGGGTATATCTGCTGCCTGAAGCTGTGAGAAAATACAGACAACAGTATAAATGCTTTAGCCTAAATTATTATTATTTTTAATCTAAAGATAGCAATAGAAAATGGTTCTTATCCTTGGGTAACAACAGAAATACACACACACACACACACACACACACACACACACACAC